GCACGGCAGGACTGAGCGCCGAGGAGCTGCGGAGCCTGGAGCTGGAGCAGAACCGTCACGGGGACCTGCTGCTGCTGCCCGAGCTCAGGGACTCGTATGAGAACCTCACGGCTAAAGTGTTGGCGACCTACGTGTGGCTGGACCAGCACCTGCAGTTCCAGTTCGCCCTCAAAGCTGACGATGACACTTTCGTCCGCTTGGATGTGCTGGTGGAGGAGCTGAGAGCCAAGGAGCCGCGTCGCCTTTACTGGGGTTTTTTCTCGGGTCGGGGCAGAGTGAAATCGGGTGGGAAGTGGAAGGAAAGTGCTTGGGTGTTGTGTGACTATTACCTGCCCTATGCCCTGGGCGGGGGGTATGTGATTTCTGCCGACTTGGTGCACTACCTGAGGCTCAGCAGGGACTACCTGAACCTGTGGCAGAGCGAGGATGTGTCCCTGGGGGTGTGGTTAGCTCCCATCGATGTCAAGAGGGTGCACGACCCTCGTTTCGACACGGAGTACAAGTCCCGAGGCTGCAACAACAAGTACATAGTGACTCACAAGCAAAGCATCGAGGACATGCTGGAGAAGCACCAGACCTTGGCCAAGGAAGGGAAGCTCTGTAAGGAGGAGGTGAAGCTCAGGCTTTCCTACATGTATGACTGGGGAGTGCCTCCCTCCCAGTGCTGCCAGAGGAAGGATGGAATCCCCTGAGAGCCTCAGGGAGGAGAAGGCAGAGTGGGGATGGACTCAGAGTCCAGTGAGGAGGGTTGAAAAATGAGACATTTTGCACAGGCAGTGAAACCCTGAAACTTCCCCAAGAGTTGCTGCTGTGGCATGATGTGGAGATGCTTGGAAGAAAACAGATGGCAGAAAGCATGGAGTGGCTCAAATGACAGGATTGAGGGCAAATCATAGGCTGGAAAACATGGGTAGAGGAGAAATCTGGGGGAGAGAACTCAAATGCTGAAAGATTTCTGACAGATTGAGATTTGTTTGCTAAAGATCATGAGGCCTTTGTGCTGTGAGATTGTGTAACCAAAGGTGATTGTTTATCCCTTGGCAAGGAAGAAGTGTCACTTTGGCAAGGAGGGAAGAGCCTCATGAGCTGGAAATCTGTTTGCAGAGGGAGCAGGTGACTGGTTACTGTCACAGGCAGGGCCAGGGAACAGCTTTTCCTGGGATACCTGTGCTGGAGGAGGGAGAATATCAATCCCATGGCAAGGAATGGAATTACCAGACCTGTGTAACTTCTCTCTAAGCTTTTTTTTTTTGGCTGTTTTAAAGGCAACCTGTACATAAATGATGTGGCAGCTACAGAGTGTGTTTAGAAAGGTGCTGAGTTGGATGTTTGGCAGACAGAGAATCTTTCATCTCATTTTGGGGACAAATAGCTGTGCTGCAAAGCCTCAGGTGTTAGGCATTGGTGTTTTAGCTCAGCCTCCACACACAGTGGGTGAAGAAACATTTCCAGCAGCAAGTGTCTCCCAAAGCTCGAGATAGAGATTGTTCTGGATCACTTCTGATGTAAATTAGGAGGAGTAAATCAGTGGAAGGTCAAACATTTCCCTAACATGGGGCTGAAAAAGTTATGTAGCCAAGAGAAATAGTTTCCTCCAGCCCCCAAATTCCTGGCTGAGGAGGAACCTTTGATATATTGCAGTGTAAAGAGGTGATTCCTCAGCCACATTTAGGTGCCCAAAGATGCACTGGGTGAATTCCTTCCCCTCTCCAACAGCACCTTGGAGAGGAACTAAAATAATTCCACAGGAGGTCTGAATTCCTGCTCCACTGATCCATCCCTGAATGGGAATGTGCTTAGTCCTGGCTGCACTCAAAGAACTATCAGATGCAGATTGAACAGTCAGTGCTGACAGGACTTAGTTCTACCACATTTATTTACCCTCAAACCTTGAGGTGAGCCCAGAATTCCAACACTTTTCCATGCCTAACACACAGAACTATTGTTCCCAGTGCTCAGCCAGAGTTCCCAACTCCCTGCAGACATCTCTGTCAGCTCCAGCTCTTCCAGTGTAAACAGAGTTTGACTTTTCCTTGTCAAATGTCAGTTTTTGTCTCTCTGTAAATGTCCTTAACGTGAAGGACATGAATGACCAGTTTAACTGTTTGTTGCACTCTGCACTTTCATTCCATTCCATTCCCTCCCATTCCATTCCCTCCAGGTCACTGTCTGTTCCCACCTGCAGGAAGAGACAAACTGCTAAGTTAAAAACACAAAAAAAGGTGCAAATATCTCTATTTTTTTCCCTGCTTATTAGCAATTTCTACCAAAGGACTCAGGTTTGGGGTTTATTTTTTTATTTTGGTTATTCTCAATTAAATTATTGGGGATTAATTAAAATCTTCTGCAGAGGAGGAAATTTTTCTGTGTTGAAAATGTGACTAAATCTGTGATTTCCTCCTAAACCCAAGTGAAACAAAGACACTGCAAACCTGAGTTTTTTCAGCACGTGTCCATCTAATGCATGTTTAGCTACTGAGAGGCTTTTCAGCAAGATAATTCTCTTCCCAAGCAGGAATTTGATGGGAAATTTCCCTCAGTTTTCCCATTTTTGATCAAATATTGTGTGTATAGCTGTGATTCAATGCTTGGAATGTGAGTATTTATTGATGATTGCCAATGTAGGAAAAATTTGTAGGAAAAATAAGCTACTTCAGTGTCATTTTCCATGTGACATCCATCAGGATTAGGTACCAAGGGAATTTTTAGTGTCCACAACTACAGATCACCAGGCAGAGTGTCCTGGATATCCATTTCCATCCTGAACTATGTCCATGGAAGTTGTTTACATTGTTTTTGTCTGTCTCACCCACAACTCTCATCCTCCAAAAAAATAAAAATAAATGGTGTTTTCATTACTAGGACAATAAATGGTGGAGAAATGCTGAGATTGGAGCCTGGAAAACATCCTGGAAACACTCAGAAATCTTAGTATTCCATGGTATCAGAGCTCTTTTCCAGCCTAAATGATGGTGTGAGATTTGGATCTTGAGCTGAGACAACTTTAGATGCATTTCTGGTTAACTTATCCATGTTTTGCTCTAGTTGCAGAACAAATGAACATGAAGCACTTGACACATTCTTGGCCCTGGGTAATTAGTCTTAATTTGCTTAGTAGATATTCCTTAGTCACAGTTTGGACTCAGTAATCCTGAAGGTCTTTCCCAAACTAAACGATCCCTATGATTCTGTGGAAAAACCCACAGAATAAAACCATCAACTAGTACAAACTTCCACTTTTCTATTTTCCCTGGAAGAATTTGCATGTTAAAGGCCAATTAAGGTTGTTTTGGGGTAATCAAGACACATTTCTGTATTACATAATGACAGCATTTCTCAAACTTCAAGTTTCCATCCAAAATTCAGCTTTGATCCCATTTTTTTCCCCCTAAAGCACTTATGGAACAACATAGGAACTGAGGATTTAATTGGTGTTTAATTGAGCAGCATTAAAAGGTGTTTTTATTCAGACCTTCTCAGCACTAGGTTCCCTATTTCCTACCCTGAAATCCACTACATCATCTCATTCCTGGGACTTGAAATCCACAATGGGATCACCCTTGGAAGTCAGGGGGAGGAATCTGACTCCAGAGGGTGCAAAATTTGGGAGGATGTTTAATTGCTACTGAGAATTACATGGTTTTTAACACATAAACACTTTGGCTCTAGGCCTGGTTTGGGTTAAAACCTCAAATATGAGCAATATTCTGGCAAAGAATGGGAAATATTTGCCATATAACATCTGTTCCCATCATTTCAGGCAGTTTCAACAACACCAAATCTGTGTTGGTTCAGTTAATTCCCTTTAAAATGTGTGTGGTCTGATTAAACTGATTAAATTCTTGATGAAATGATGAATTTAAAGATTTATTATTTTTTTTTTGTCCCTGGGACACACAAGTTTTAGTGCCTCAAAGTTTGCTTCAAACTCAGCCATCCAAGTCCCAAGAAAGCTCATCCTGAAATCATTTCAAGGCCAAATAAAGGCTAAATATATAACCTGGAGTGTAAAATGAGTTTGTTTTCTCCATTGGATGTTTTAGGTCCTACACAAATGATCAAATTGCTACTGAGGAGAACTGAGAAATAATAAAGGTGAGGGAGTTAATTCCAAGGCATCACCCAAGGAAGAGTTGGGTGAAGATTTGTGGCAGTGAGCAAAAAAGTTGGCTACAAAGAGAATTTATGGATCATAGAAAAGAAAAACAGACAATTAATGACAAAGGAGAGAATAATGTCCATTATCACATTATCTCATCCACTTTACCTGTTTTTCCTAGGAATATTGCAAATCAAAGCCATTTACTCACAGAATAATGTCCATTATCACATTATCTCATTCACTTTACCTGTTTTTCCCAGGAATATTACAAATCAAAGCCATTTACTCACAGGATAATGTCCATTATCACATTATCTCATCCACTTTACCTTTTTTCCCCAGGAATATTGCAAATCAAAGTCATTTACTCACAGGATTATGTCCACTCTGGCAGCCCAAATTCACACCAAATCCCCTCCCAGGGCTCTCCTTGTTCCCTTTATCAATCCCACTCACTCCAAACCTTCTCCCTGCCCTCCCTGGACCTCAGGGAATCACCTGGGAAGCCCCAAATCAGCCCCAGGTGAGGCTGACACCAAACCATTCCAAGCCACATCCCCACAGGGTGTTATTATCTACCTGATTTCCTTCCAATTAATGTCTATATTTCAATATTTTCCCCATGGATTTTCATCCCAATCCAAATCTTTTATACAAGACATGACAAACTCACTTCTTGCTACAAAGATTTTAAATAAGACCTTTTTTCCCCCCTATAAATAATTCAAAATATTGTTCAGATTTGTTATTGAATAAGAAGTTGGAAGCAAGAAATCCCTTTGGAAGTCATTCCCTCATTTCCCTGTGCACTTGCCCTATAGAGCTCAGTCACTAGATGTCACTCCCTGCCTGGAAGAGAGTTCCAAGCTTAAAAAAAAAAAAAAAAAGGAGGAAATCGGTGCCCAAAGACACTTGTTGATGCCTAAAATGTAACTTTGTTCTCTAATCAATCTGGTGTTTGATATGGGGAGAAAAGGGAAATAATTTTCCAATCAGCAATGGAATTCTGAAGGAATTAGTGAGGATGGAGCCAAGATTGTGCCATGGAATCCATGATGGATAAAACACTCTCAGGTTTTAACACCAAACCCCCAACCTTCAATATTCCCACATCCTCTCCTCCTTCTCTTTTTATGATCAGTTTTCAAGGAAAACATGGGAAAAAACATGGAAAACTCTAGGCCCTGATTCATTTTTGGTTGAAAACTCCCAGAGCCACAAGGCCACACAGTCACCCTGGCCCTGAGCTTGGGAGGTGCCAAGGTCATCTCCAAGCCTTGGACCCCTCACTGAAGGCCACAATTCCCACCTTCTGCTGGTCCATGGCATTCCCTACCAGCCAAGATCCAGGGAATGAGAGCCCTGTCCCAGCATCTGTTTGTTTTCCAGGCTTTGAAATCTCAAGTGTTGGACAATTGGAGAAGTTCCACACACAGTTGATGAGACATCAGCAAGAAGGGAGTGGAAAATTCATCACTCCTTGGGTTTGAAGTAAAGTCAAAGGTTGTTGTTGTTGTTGCCAGTGATCAATGGATTTGGGATAGAGCCAAAGGGCTCCAGTTGGCTTTGAGGAATCAGCACAAGGCACAG